CTATGCGAATGTTATAAAACGCTTTAACGACGGCTTCGATTTTAATTAAGATCGATTACGAAGATCAAAACAAAAAGATAATAATAAAAACGGACGCTAGCTTAAAAAGATAAAGAAGATATATCGGCTAACGCGAGACTACTTTTAATAAAGTGTAACCGACTCGGTACGAGTTTAAAGCTTAAACGAAAGTAAAACGGAATTACGACGCTATTAAACGAAAGTGCCGCGAAGTACTTAAAGTCTTTAAAAAACTTAAGCTATAAATTATTAAAATGCACTTTATTTTCGAAACTAACGCTAAAGTGCTCGTTACTTAGCTTTAATAAAGAGCTATTAATATATTCTTGGCTTTAATTATACGCTAATTAGCTTAAATTAATCTTTTCGATTTTAAAGTCCGATATATCTTTAATAAAGATTATATCGCTACCGATGCATTATCGAGACGACTACGGCACTTCGATGATTCAAGCGAAAAAGATAAAAATAAGTTCGATAATAACTTACTAATTGATTTAAGACTTATTAAAGCTCGAGACAGCTTTAAAGAACTTTCGACGAACCTTTTAATAAATATTCGCTAATTTATTTTTAAAAATATATTTTAACGCTTAAAAGAAGCGGAGAATGCAAACTTAAACGAATCTAACGACGATTACGATTACGAAAGTCTTTTAAACTTAATCGAATACTCTTTAAAATCAATTCGAATAATTACTTTCTTAACGACTTTACGAAGATTTAAAGACTTAAATAAAATAAAATATTATAAATTTAAAAAAAAAGCTATTAAATACGAAGTAAACGATAAGAAACTTTAAAGACTCTCGACGAAAAGTCTTTTTCTTCGATTAATAATCGATAAGCTTTCGATTAAAACGAATATTATTATAGCTTATTACGATAAGAATAGTTATAAAAGCCGTAAATCGATTTATTATTATGTTTTTTAGCGCTATTTCTAGAATAAATGCTATACGAACGTTAAACGATTCGTTAAGACTTATAAAGAATGCTAGCACCGAGCAGCTAATAAGCTCGAGAAACTATTATATCTTATTCGATTTAATAACTTAATAAAACGCTAAGCTATCGATATCACTTATCTACTTGCACGCAATAGCAAAAGCTACTTAATTATTATTAAAAATAATATAAGTAAATAAGTCGAAGCGAAAGCGATTCGAACTCGAGACTCGCTTTTAATAGCTAAGTTTATTTAAAAAGATATTATTTACCGTTATAAGATTTTCTTTTAACTAATAATCGACGGAGGTTCGGAGTTTAAAAAAGAAATAATCGACTTACTTAATAATTAAAAAATCAATTAAGTCGTAGTTTTAGCATACTACTTTTAAGCGAATAAAATAATAAAACGCGGTTACGGATTAATTAAAAACGTATTAAATAAGCTTAAAAGCATCGATTAAATTGCGCAACTGCTAGCCGTTTTATTCGCCGACCGCACTTCGATGTATACTTTTATTAGATTCACCTTTTTTTATATAATATATAATAAAAAAGCAATGCTTTCGATTAAAACTCGAATTTAATTTTAAGCTACGTTATTTTAAAAGCTAATAATTAATCGTATTAAGCTTATCGAATTAAAAGTACGTTAGTTTCGAATGCGAAACGAAAATGCTACGAAAGCTATACTTAAGAAAACCCGCTATCGTTAAAAAAGAAAAGATGCTTTTAATAATAAAAAGAACTTTCGAATTAAACTCTTAAAAGTAAGCGACTTAATCTTTAAGCACGACTCGGTACGTAAGATAGATATATTTAACGTTAAAAAGCTAGATTTTCAATAGCTTAGCTTTTATTAAATTTCGTCGGTAAATATAAAAGGATATTATAAGTTGAAAAAGCTAAAAAAAAACGAGGCTTTATTAAATAAAATATTTATTAGCAATCGATTAAAAAAGTTTTACGTGCGATACACTTTCGAAGCGTTATTATTTCGCTTTAAGCCTTAAATAAAAAGATCTTTAAAACAGCTTTTATTAAATAAAATAACCGAGTCTAGCTTTTAAATCAAGCGCTTAAATAGATTTATCATTCGATTACTTAACCTTACGGAAGAGCAACGAAGCTAATACGCAAGAGTTTTTATAAGCAATAATGAAAAAGCAATAAAGAATGATTAAGTTATAAAAGCATAATTATCCGTAAAAGAAAAACGAGTTTAAATTTGATTTTTTTTTTTTTTTAAGTTTAGTTTTCTTTGTTTTCTTTTTTTTATACTCTTTTTATTTCTTTTTTTATATTAAAAAGCTTTACGTCATTATACTTATATGCTTTCGATCTATTATATACGAGCATATTATATATATAAAGCGGATCTTATTCGAAGGCTAATTAAAAAGAGCATACGAAAAATCTATTATATTAACTATTTAATAAGCTGCCGATACGCGATAAAAAACCTTTTCGACTTTATAACTTAAAGCTAAATAGAATAATACGAAAGCTTTTCGCAGCACTTTAAGCATTGCTTTTACTTTTCGAAGTCTTATTAATATTGCTACGACTCGAACCTTTCGAAGAACTATTAGTATTGCCGCGGTTAAAAGCTTAGCGAGCACTTTAGCGGAGCTTTTTCGCAATAAAAAGTGCTAGCGATTCCGAAGATAAAGATGAAAAGGACGAGGACTTTTTAATAATTTATTATAATCAAATCGAAAAAAAATTATAAAAAGTTCGTAATATATACTTACGCGATTAAAGAAATTACTTAGCAAAGTATTATTTCGATCTATTATAGCTAAGATTTAACGTAGCAAATCTAGCGAAGCTAGATCGACGGTAATAGCGGCGGCAAGTAAGCGTAACGCCGAAACGAGATTTAAGTTAATTAAAAGACTTTTAGCATTAGCGGCGGCAAAAGAAACAGCGGCGATACGAGCTCGAAAAAAAGAAAAAGCATTATTAACTCGAAAAGCAAAAGCACGACGAGTCTTTATAAAAAAGTTATTTGCAATTATGCTTTTACGAAAAACGTCGTCGGCCGTTTTAGTTTTATTATTTATAACTATTATCGCATCTATTAAAACTATGCCGGCGCTAACGACTTTTGCGGAAAGCTATCGAATCGAAATCAAAACGAGTATAAAACGGAAAGTAAAATAACTTACGAAGATGTAAGTTGATTTAATAGCACGGTAACGCTTGTATTTAATAGATTTATCGAAAAAGAAAATGCACCGATTCGTAGCATTATCGATAATTTTGCTTGCGTAGCTTACGCATCGAAAGCAAATCGAAAACATAATAATAGAAAATAAAGTTAATAAGTAATAATGCTAAAAGGAAAATAAAAAAGTATAAAGTTGATATAAAAAAAAAGTATTGTTTATAGCAAGATCTCGAGTATATACTACCGCTTTTATTTTTTTTATTACGTTACCGCTTTAAGCTTCGCGTTATTACCGATTCGGTAATGCGTTATTACTTAACCGCTTAAATCGGCGCACGCTTATTTTAATAATAATATTAACGCTCGAATTAATATTATTCTTATAATTAAATAAAAGTGCTATAAAAGATATAAAAAAGAGTTAGACTCGAAAGATTATTTTGCATTTTCGTTGCTATTTTTATCTTTTTTATTATATTACGTACGCTTTTATATTAACACCGATCCGGCGATGCATTTTTAAATAGTATTTTAAGACCGTATTGCGACTATGCAATTCGGCTATATGCTCGTTTTACAAACACAACTTTATTACTTTAATAAAAAGTGATTCGAAAGCGAGTTTGATTCGAAAGAAAGACGTATATAATAAAGTTGCGGCTTTATATTTGTTTTATTTATATATATAGTATTAATGCTAAGCATTTTTATTACGTAGATGCGCTGCATGCTTTAGCCTTATTAATCACGTAATTAAGTTACGTAATTAAGTCACGTGCAGGCTCTTATATAAACAAGTAATTAATTCTTCTTTAAACTAGCACTACATTATTATATAATATAATATACGTACTTATAGCACACATTCGAGTGTCTTTCGATCGTCTTCCTTCTTCTTTTTTATTTACTTACGATTCTATTATAGTTATATTCACATATATCTCTTGATTTGACGTTGGGTATATGTCGGAGCTCTTTCCTTCCATAATATAAGCAAGCGACTTAATACGGAATCGCTCTTCCGTTGTAAAAGAAAAGTATCGTAATAAAAAGTATCTTCGCTATAAAGTCCTAGCTTCTTTATAATTGATCACTTAATAGTAAATCAATTATTAATCAATGTTAGATTGCTTTTAAGCGATTTAAGAATATATTCGTAACTTCGTAAGGTCGTTAAAGTACTTGCAATTGCAAAACACTCGGTTGATAAAGTATTTGAATTCTGTCTGCTTCTCAAGGTTTAAAAGAGCTGATTCCTTCTATATAATTAAAAAGAATCACGTGCACTAGCTAGCTAATAAGTTTACTTATCAAGTTAAAGTCTTTTGACTGCTAATATGCTAAGCGAAGCATGCCAAGTGGCCCGTGAACCCTGGTTCACGAGTGAGCTCCCCAACTACTCCTACTACTACTACTACTACTAGCTAAGGTCGATATGGGTATACCGACAAATTGAAAAAATTGAAAAAATTGAAAAATTGAAAAAAGAAGAAAAAAAAACGAAAAAAATAAAAATAAAAAGAAATAAAAAAAAAAAATTGAAAAGAATAAAAGAAATAAAAGAAATAAAAGAAAAAAGAGAAAAAGAGAAGAAAGAGAAGAAAGAGAAAGAAGAGAAAAAAGAGAGAAAAGAGAAAAAGGGAAGAAAGAGAAGAAAGAGAAGAAAGAGAAGAAAAAGAAGAAGAAAAAGAAAAAAATGAAAAAAAATGAAAAAAAATGAAAAAAAGAAGAAAAAAAGAAAAAGAAGAAAAAGAAGAAAGAAGAAAAGAGAAAAGAGAAAAGAGAAAAAGAGAAAAAGAGAAAAAGAGAAAAAGAGAAAAGAGAAAAACCAGCAGCAGCAAGAAAAAAAAAGAAATACCTACAAATGCACAATCCTCTCATCAACCCCGTACGGCCAATCATTCCACAAGATCTTCACGTCGCCCTCCCTCTCGAACGGCGCGACGCCGCCGCCGCCGCCCTCGGCCACGACGGGCAAGGCCCAGCCTAGGCGCTCGCGGACCACAAAGTTCATGACGCTGCCATGGGTCTGCCGCAGGGCGTGGCTGTAGGCCAGGTAGCGGCGGAGGTCGGACGGGACGCGCTGGAAGGCGGCGAGGGCGTTGGAGGCGGTGATGGATTGGACTTGGGGCCAGGTGAGGCGCTGGTATTGGGAGTCGGGGGTGGAGAGGATGAGGATGTCTTCTGTTTGGGGGAGGGGAGGTGAGCGTGATTTTTTGGTTGTTTTGGTGGATTTGGATTTGGGGTTTGGGGTTAGGGGTTGGGGTTGGGAGCTGAATGGGTTGAATGGATGGATGGATGGATGGTGTGGATATGAGGGCTATTGGGCGATTGGGAGTATATTTGGGGATTGATGACATTGGGTTGGAAAGGGGGTGGTTTATGAGCGCGGCTTTAGCGAGGTGGGTTTGTTTATGTTATGTTAGTACCAGGCTCGCTTGACCAGTCGAACACTTGAACACACACTTGAACGAGCGTGGGGGGGTGAGGGGGGGGGGGGACTCGATCGATCGACGTACTGGGCTTCAGATCCCGGAGGAAGACGGGACATTCATCGGTGCGTTCGGAGGGGGGCACGTTGACTTGCCAGTACGGGAGTGGCAGCAACTCGGCGCTCCCCATGGTGGGTTGGAATCGAGTGGAGAATCTGATCTGGGGACGTGTGTATGAGCGGTACGAAGTACTTCGGAGGTACTACACAGATGATTGATGAATCGGAGGGGGATTGGTCCCTTACAGGGTCGGTATATCAGCGATTCGGTACGACGTTGTCTCACTTTACATATGTAAACGGTTATTTGTGAGACAGATCCCGTTACGGGATTTGCTTCCGGGCTCGGCTCTCCTTCTCTGCAAGCAAAACAAGCAAAACAAAGCACACAAACAAGCCTTTAGCCGAACCGAACAAACCTCTTACGTACTATAATCATGCATTCCACGCAGCCTTCTAGAAGATCGTTAACAGAGAGGACTGAAGACTACACGGAGACGGTCTACGAGGAATGAATAAATCCGATCTTGGATCCTGTACGGGCTGCGTACCTGCGTTACTCACAATCAACGCGCGCTCTAGATCGTAGCCAACTCGGCCCCATCCGGCAGCTAATCTCCGGCGCCGTGAAACATTTTTTGACATTCTTCTCCGGAAAAGTTTTTGCTTTGCTTTTGCTTCCCCTTCCTTTTTGGGTGCATATTGTAGGTTTGTCGGTAGGTCGGTACGAGTACTACTAACGCAACCTGGAGAATACAGGTACCGGTATAGATGGATGGGTATCCACCCGTTCTTCCCTAATCTGGATGTGTCGACCGCGGCCTCTCAGGTGCCCCTTCATAACGTAAAGTAATGCAAGTGCGCTCAAGGATCGGGGATGGGGGATGGGGGATGGGGATGGGGTTTGCGAATCCGAAGTGAGTACTCTGGTGAGGAAGAGGAAGAGGAAGAAGAAGAAAGGAAGAAGATGAAGAAGAAGAAAAAAAGGTAGGTTTACATGGTGGGCGTTGAATTTTCTTTCGCATGCTCATCTTCTTTCTGTGGTTTTTGGATCGTGTCGTGCTCTCATCATCTACTCTTCTGTATACTGCGGGGAGAGGAGAGAATAGAAGGGAGGAAAGAACGCCTCTTCTAATTTTGACTTCCGAGTTTGTTCATCTAGTACTCGCGTTGATTCACGCACCTAATCGATTGTCTGGTTGATTGATGGTCTTCTTCAACAAAACGAGCTACCGGGAACAATCCATTGTTACCTGTAAACCAAACAAAGCTCTTGACTGAGAAGAGAATCGCAGCCTGCCTGCGCTCGTTGCTCCCGACCCATCTCGATCTACAACGAAACAACACAGAGCAACGCAGCGACGATAAACCGCCTATCGGACCCGACTGTACGAGCCCGCTCCCAAAACACTCACGGCACTCGAACATCCCTCTTGGATGCGTATTCCTCGACCAGGAACCCGCCGACCGTAGAGAGATGGGCAAGCCACGCAGAGAGCCGTACGTCAAGCGGCCCTCGCCGCTCGGAAAGGTACACCTCACACGCCCCATCTCGCAAGCTCCGCCGACAGCAGCAGGCGATCCCATCTTCTGGAAACGCTTCTCGGTTGCGGTGCGCGAGGCGGAGAATGCGGACCTGGAGGGCGGGAGGAACGATTCTACGAGTACGATTGAGTTGAGGAAGAGGTCGGAGTACGTCTATACCCTCCCAGTCTATGCCTGCCTGCCTCTCCACCGTTGGCAGCATCCGGCGGTGGCGGTGTTTGGGATCTCGGGGGGGTGGTGGGAGGATGGAAGCTAATGCGTGCGTGCGTACCAGTCCCAACGACTGGCTCGCTCAGCAGCACCAGAAGAAGCGCAATTGCCGGTACGTCTGCATGGTCATTACGCTCCTGGTCGTGGCACTGGTCACTGGCGCCGCGATAGTGGGATGGTGGTTCACGCAGGGCCCTGGGAGGAAGTAGATGATGGGAAGGGAGGGGAGGGAGAGAACAATACTTATTCAGTGCGATTGATACCGGATGAAACGATGGATTTCGTGCATGAGAGCTACGTACGGAAACACATACCTCCTCCCTTCTTGGACGGATCATCGCAGATATTGCGGCTATTGCAGCTGAGCCGGAAACCATCTTGAAAGTGGATTGGCATCGTAGCACAGTGGATGGATGGATGGAGGATGTTGAAAGTCGACATGGCATGAAAAGCCTATGGACGAAGGGCCATGTATCTGGGACGGCCACTGGGATACGTGACACAGGGAAGAAAGCTGCCTTGGTGCTGGCTGATGAAGATGAAAGCCAAAAAAAAGAGAAATCAAAAAAAAGAAAAAAGAAAAAAGGAAGATATCAAACATGTCCAATTGTCTGTCCCACTCTTTTCCTCTGGGTTGGAGCGGAGCTACGGATAACCAGATACGTTTGGGTATGTTGACATGTTCTGAAGCTCTAACCTCAAGGCTTCTTGGGCCCGGTGTGCTTGCACTGTAGGCAAGAAGGCAGCCGGCAGCCTGCGCGCGCTACCGAGTAAGAGGACCAAGCAGACATTCATCCATTCCAACTACTACCAGGCCAGGCTTTGAAGATGACCGACCGTTCCCACGGCCCAACTTGGGTTCGTCGATTGGTCCGAAGTAGGTAACCAGTTTTCCATTTACAGCTTGGTATACTAAAACATGAAATGCAACCAAGTACAGTCAGTATACGCGACTGGACAGACACCTTTCGCAGGGCTTAATTCCTATTTTAAATAACACCATATCGAAAGCTAGCTTCTATCACTCATCACGTACTTGATACTTCATGGGTGTTATTGTTTATATAATTGTTACTTCCTGTTTTCATTTCATTTTATTTTCTTTTTATCAGGTCGGGGTCGGTCTGAGAAATGCGATCTAGCTAGCTAGATAGCAAGCAGGCAAGCAGATAGCAAGCTATATGGAAACGCCTCGTCTGTTTATAGGTGCATTTATTTATCTATACCTCTCGCTACCTATCGATTCCTTTCTCTCCTGCTTGTAGTTCGCTGGCTTGAAAGTGTTCTTGTGTGATGGACGGACGGATGGACTTTGGGGTGGGCTGTGCGTATTTGCGGTGTGTATATTGGTTGATTGATTGATTGATGGCACTGATGCTGAGTTTTTATCGTATCGTTGGCGAAAGGGATAGATGGCTGTTACTTCTTTTCAATTGAATTTGCGAACTTGCCAATGGAAGAAAAATTGCGAAGAAAATTGGCTGAGAAGAGCGGCCTGGATGGACTGAGTACTTGTGTTGGCTGGCATACATAGCGGACGTGGAGGTGGATTAAGTAGCACTCTTTTCTTCTTCTTCTTCTTCTCTCGTGGATTGTTTAGACCTGCTGTATACGCGCAACAAAGCCCTTTTCACCAGGTATCCCTTCTACAAATACGCTCCCTAATGGAAGAAGAGTTCTTCTTCCAGAAGCTGGGAGGAAAGGGGAGGCCGGAATATTGCTCGGAAGGAATTGGCAGGAAGAACACCAGAGCCTGGTACATACCTCGATATATTATCAGGCCTACGTGCTAGTGGAAATTGAGGCGTGAGTGCAAGCCGGTAGGTGTATCTGTTTCCTAGGTACTGTGCATATATTCGGGGCCATGGCAAGGTTTTATCAAGGGGCTTGGCTTGAGGTTTGAGGCTCTGGATATCGATAGATGAGCATTTATTCGGTAGCATTGGTAATCGCTTGAGTACTGACGATTGTTTCTGTCTGTTGGGTACTGTTAGAAAGATGCGATGTGGGATGTTAGCCAGAGGGACCATATGTGGGGACGTCGATGGTGCATATGATTTACACGACTGTCTAACAGCCATTTGAAATAAAGTAACAAGGGATTTTTGTGAGAGCATCTTCGTTATGAGAAATAATAGGTCATGAGTACATAGTGAATTCTTTAGCAGAGACGTGCTCCGGCAATCATAATGCGGGGAGAAGGAGATGCTGGCATTGGTGCTAAGCGATCTCTCGCTTCTTTGTTTACTGTCAAATTCTGCTCATAAACCCCCTCGTGGGGTCTAATGGCTGATTGGCTGCACTCTCACCAGGAGAGGATCTCACCTGACGTTCAGTTTTTAATATAAATATAGGGATCCCGCGTCGAGATGCGACGGTCGCTTGGTGAGGCTATGTACGACTTCAAATTTGACCAGATCGTCTTTCTCATGGGGGCGGGAGAAAGGCGCGAGATCCCTCTCAGCGCCGTGTCCATGCAGCCCTCTCGACAATGAAATCCGCCACCTATATAGAGGTTCCCTTCCGCCCATTCTTCAACGCTACCTCTGCTGACTTCGCGATGAGGTTATCTCCTACCGGATCGGCGGAGATGCCTTCATTCGGATGATTGTGCTTCCAAGGCAATATGTTAACGGGCCGTATCTCGCTCCAAACGGCCAGGCTCCCGAGACACGAGGTTGAATCATCTCCATGTATTCAAATGCTCTACCGACTATGCCCCCCACCCTCGATCCCCCGCTTGGCCCGTCCACGTGTGAGAGTACAAGAACGGGGCCCTTTGTAGATTCTAGCGGCTCCCAATGAACCCGGCATATATATTAGATGGAACGAGAAAAAAGAATATATAATTTACTCCGGACACTCTCCGTAAAACGGAAATACTGGAAAAGAAAAAACAAAATGGAACGCGAGCGAACCTTCCCTGCATGTATCCACCCTGATGAATGTACGCCGTGGCGGGTGGCGGCCACCCAGATTCACTCCCAAATTCTCTTGCAACCAGCACTAAACGGATAGGCGGATGGCCCCTAAACGGCCATTCCATGACAGAAGAATCCCCTTCTGGTGGTCTCTGGTGGCCCGACTCCTGTAGGAATATGAATGGATGGCTTGGCCCTCTGATTTGGCCCTCTCCCCGATAGCAGACTCCATCAATTCATCAAGTTGACGAATAAGTTAAACGAAAGGTGAAGTCGACGCGCCTGTGATTCTTTGCATTGACACTCGTATTTGCACTTCTCTTCTCCTTCCCATGCGCTTCGCTGGCATCGTTGGCATCACCTGATCTCGATCCTCCCCCCACCCAAGAAAAACCCGCTGGTGATCACTGACCATCGACTCCCACTACCATCCACGACATACATGTAACTCTTCGCCCCGAGGACAAAGAAGTCCCATGTGAGTAGGTGAGTAGCTGAGTAGGTGAGTAGCTGAGTAGGTGAGTAGCTGAGTAGGTGAGTAGGTGAGTTGGTGAGTAGCTGAGTAGCTGATTAGCTGAGTAGGTGGGTAGCTGAGTAGACGAGGCTTACCAGCAAGGTTACAAGGTCGTTCCTGCCCTCTGGGTGGTCTTCGGAAGCTGTTCCTTGAGGTTATTCCGGCCCGAGACGCGTCTTCTCTTGAAGGGAAAAGAAACTAAACAGCGACTGGATTCTTCGTCTTTCTTCAACCCAAACAAGTCTTCTCGTGTTCTCCCACAATACGCATCAACCCCATCCGAAGTCAAGGGACATTATCTTACGTCTCTGACAACAACCACAGGTGGTCTGAGATACCCGTCCACCGTCCAGAATCTGCATCTAGCAACGCGCGCTGCTGCCGCCTCCGGGCTCCTTTGTTGATTTTTTTCTGGCAATGGCTTACAACGAGAATGTCGAGGCGTTTCGCGATGTCGAGTACCCTATGATGAGAGGTCAGAACCTCCCTCCATCCGTCCATCTCTGCCTTCCCTTCTCCAAAGATAGTCAGGAAACACTTGATACTGACCCGCAGCAGGCAAGGTGTATCTTGATCATGGCGGCACGACAATCTATGCAAAGTCCCTCATTGAAGACTTCTCCCAGAAGATGATCCACAACCTGTATGGCAATCCACACTCCGCCTCAGATCCAGCCATGCTCTCCGGTCACCTGGTAGACTCGATCCGCATCCAAGCACTCTCTTTCTTCGGCGCAGATCCTGAGCACTTCGACCTCGTATTCACCGCAAACGCAACTGCAGCTATCAAGCTTGTGGCTGAGGGTTTCCAGGACCTGGCGGCTAGCAACCCACGATCACCTTCGTTCTGGTATGGCTATCACAAAGATGCGCACACTAGTCTTGTTGGAATCCGTGAGATGACAGACCAAGGAAATCATTACTGCTTCACTAGTGATGATGAGGTAGAGGATTTTTTGAATGGCAAGGTTGGCCCGACAGGAAAGCTGCACAACACCGAGGTTCTGCCCGCGTTGTTTGCCTACCCAGGTCAGTCGAACATGACTGGACGACGCCTCCCACTAGAATGGACTCAAAGACTTCGCCAATCCAATTTGCAATCACACCAGAATACTTACTCTCTCCTGGACGCCGCCGCACTGGCAATGACGACCCAGCTTGACTTCAGCGATCCAGACACCGCACCAGACTTTACCTCTGTATCCTTCTACAAGATATTTGGCTTTCCTGACCTTGGAGCTTTGATTATCCGTAAGGACTCCGGCCACATCATGAAGTGGAGAAAGTATTTTGGTGGCGGTACGGTATGTCCAACGCTCCGCTCTGCCCCTTCTCATCCATTCCTGTGGTTTTGCTTGGTAGACATGCGACTGACTTACACCAAGGTGAACGCTTTGACCGTGATGCACGAGGCTACAGTACAGCGAAGAGATGCAAACCTGCATGACGGACTGGAAGATGGCACTCTCCCTTTCCACAGCATCATCGCATTGGGCTGTGCCATTGGGGTACATCGTAAACTTTACGGCTCGATGATCAATGTCTCGCAACACACCTGCTTCCTCATTCATCGCCTTTTCCATGGCATGAACCAGCTGACCCACTACAACGGCAATCCTCTCTTCAGAGTCTACTACGACCCGGAGAGATCAGCTTATGGTGACGCGAAGACGCAAGGAGCCACGCTCGCTTTCAGTGTCTTGAAGGCTGACGGAACATTCGTCGGCCACTCTGAGGTAGAGAGCAAGGCCAATGAACGAGCAATATATCTGCGAGCTGGCGGTCTATGTAACCCTGGTGGGATTGCGAGTTATCTTCAGATGGAGCCATGGCAATTCAAGCGTGCCTGGTCTGCAGGTCACCGTTGCGGAGACCGCCATGTCGAGGTGATTAACGGAAAACCAATGGGTGTTGCCAGAGCCAGTATTGGAGCCATGACGACCATCTCCGACGTCGATGCACTGCTCGCCTTCTTTGACGAGGTCTTCGTGGAGAACCTTGATCTGGTGATGCCAATGGCAAGAGCAGAGGTGTTGCGCCATAAGAACTTCGCAGCATTGAACATGAACCTTAGAAGTGATAGTGGGATTGGTTCGGTAAAGAATCTCGCTCGGTTCCATGTGCCAGGCCAGATCAACGCCCGGAGGATGATCAGTTCTCCGAATCTGAGAGCTCCGGTGCAGACAGATGGGCGTATCTACCTTCGACCCTCACTTCACGAGCATCGGCCGAACACTGGTACGACCTACGCTAGCCACACGAGTGTAGCAGCACTTGCTCATCGTCCGCCTCCCTTATCGTACAACGGAAACTTGCAGCAGCAACGAGCAGACACAGCTCGGACCATGATGGTGCCAATCGAGGGTTTACGATTACCCGAAAGCTATGATGGAAGCTTTAACGAGCATGGCTTCAGCAGAGAGTTCCACCCGTTGATGCAAAGCCAAACACAACAGCAACTGAACGTGGACTCGCAGAAGGGACGCAAGAAATTCAAATTCTGGAAGTGCAAGAAAGCGACGAAAGCACGCCGATGATGGGAAAACTCCAGCAAGGCTTTTTGGAGCAAGGAGTGTGGTGTTGCATGAGAATTACTTTTGTTGAGATATGTGATGGATGACTTTGGCATTTTCTGTGTGGAATAACGGATTTCACTAGAGGAGTTTCTGGTGTTGGGCGACGTGCAGAAACATATAGGGTATCCGCTCTGTTGGTTGGTAGTGGCAGAGGCTAGATGTGGACAGATGGATACCTAGCGTTGCATGACTTTATTGCGCACGTACAGTCGTACATCAGCTAAATTCGGTCGGAGTAGTTGCATACAGCAGAGATTCTCGTGTCAAGAAATGATACGTGCCTTATGCCTCACCCCTCAAGCTTTGGTGAAGCTCACAAACTAGGTACGTAAACAGACCTGCGCAAGCTGGCGCAAATGGGCGAGACAAAATGCCGGCACTACACATTTAAGATAGCGCCAGGCTGTCTCAAAGGGAAGTATGGCAATGTCCAATTGCTGCGCGCGCGCTCCCTCGACTCTCCTCATACAGCAATACAATATGTATACACAAGACAGGACCCGACAATATGGTTGCATCCTCCGGGCTCCCGAGCTTTCATTCCGAAGACAAGTAGCCCGCCTTCCTCCTGCAATTTTTTTTTTCTTCGGGTGGCGGTCGGGATTGGCGTTCCGATGAGTAATAGTAGTTTTTTTGCCCTTCCCTTCTTCCATCCTTCCCTCCCACCAAAGAAAAAGATAGAAAAAGACGAAAATAACACCGTACGCCGTGCCCATATCTGCCTTGCCTAGCCTTGCAATGCATGCTCTTTCCTCTATTCCTCTCTCTCTCTCTCTCTCTGTGTGTGTGTGTGTCTGTGTGGGTGTGGGTGAATTTCTCTCTGTGTCTCTCTATCTATACTGTCCGGAAGGATATGTATGTATGGTTGGTGGTTTGGTTTGGTCTACGAGAGGGTTATGGCGCCCCGGCGGTTGTCGCGGATGTGGAGGAGGGCTTGGAAACCGCAGCCTACGAGGAAGAGCTGTGAGGAGGGTTAGTTAGCTTGAGAGGATTTTTTTTTTTGTTTTGTTTGGGGGGGGAAGGGGCGGAGCTCGGTTTGGTAGGTTTGGTAGGTAGGTAGGTATTGAGGGTCATAGGAGGGAGGGGGAGAAAGGCACGTACAGCGTAGACGACGACGGCGGAGAAGACCGTGGCGGCGACGGCGGCGCCGTCTTCCGGGTCCTCCATCGTGCCGGTCATGGAGTGGTGGTTGGATTTGAAGAGGAGGCCGATGACGGAGAGGATCACGATTGCGAAGCAGGAGATCACGACGCTGCGCGGCGCGGAAGAGAGAGAGAGAGAGTTAGCTTAGCCTGTGCGTTATCTCTGCTCATGGAGATGGAGGAGCGCTTTCGGGGGGGGTTTTTTGGTTTTGAAAGCTCTGGACCTTTGGACTTTTGGTTCTGTAGGAGAGGGAGGATGGGGATTCGGACGGACGTACCATGACCATGCTTTCATTGCTCCAACGATGGGCTTCATTTTGGCGGGTTTTTGAGCCTGGGGATTCTTGGGAGAGGGGGTTGCGGGTTAGAGGGCTACTAGAGCCTTTGAAGGGGGTGCGGTGGTGGAGGGTGGACTTGTTGGTGAGGCGGCTGGAGATTGATTGAATGATGAATGGCCTTGAGGTTGAGGCTGAAGCGTCCAGTACCTAGTGACGGTCGAGTGGGAAGGCTTGGCATAGCAAGCACCACTTGGCGGAAACATTTTCAATCAATGCTGTAATATTGTATCGATTCTCTGCCTCTCTCCTCTCTACATGTTTTTTGGTAACCAGCTTTACATCTAGTCATGCTCTTCCTATCGCTTAATTGCAAGCTGGAAGACATTCGGAAAATATTGGTATGATGGTACATGCACACGAGGTGTTGTTGATCGAGCCTGCGTGTATATCCAAACCTCCCTGGCGCGCCGCAGTCCCTGCATTTGATTCTCGGAGTCATTCAAATCAGGATATTCATCCTCAGCGAGTCGAAGCTTGGATGGCTAGGGTGGTCCACCACGTTGGCTTTTGTCCGCCTGCTTTCAATGGTTCCTCGAGACGGTTCCCCACCCAGCATTGGTGCTCTGCCCGGCCTAGAGCATCATGCTCGATGCCTCTGACAATTTATTTCGTTTAAATATTATGCCAATTAGCCAAAGCTCCTCGTATCTAACGTTGGAAATTTGGCTATGCCGTCGGAAAGATATAGCTCGCGAACTTCTTGGACTGCGCGAGACTCAGAGACAACCCGTGCTCTGAAATATTTCCTCATCTGTCTGAGCTCCAATGAGTCGATGGACCCCGGGTTGTGCCACGGAATCCTGCATAGATTGCTTTCTCACGAAGTCTCCGCTGCCGAGACATGGTGATGTTCTGAATGTTGGGCGTTCGGAGGATTGGGAGATGCTGTTTATGCCGGTTTTCACAAGTTCGAATATAAGTCTCGGCCCTCGGTTTCCGGATTGGAGGGAATTGGAAGGTCCTTCAAATGTCGAGATCGAATTTGTATGCCGCTGGTTGCGCAGTGCAGTTTCATACGAATGTACAGGAAGGTGTGTAACGTATTCCTGCAAAGCTAGTGGCAAAGCCGCTCTGCTATATTCTAGACATGGGAATCGGCAAAAAGTCTTATCGTCACTTCGAAAAGCACATGGCGAAGAAAACCGTGAGAGTGTCTGACGGGAATGTGCTCTGAGGTTAGACTACCTACTGGAAAGTTTGGAAAGGATTGGTACTCGCCAACCTCCAGATTCGGTTGTGATATAAATAGCTTGGCATAAACAAAGAACAAAAAGTAGCAGGTACCACTTGAACCCCAGCAACTGTCAGCACCCTAGGAACTTGAAACGTCCTTGTCCGCATCTCCCAGGAAGAGATTTTCAAAGAAAGCTTCAAAACTCACTCAGAAGAAGCCCTCACGTGGTTCACAGCGCCGTTGGATGTCTACTGTACGTGCATTCCATTCCGGATGATGTACCCAGGGGCTCGGCTACGGGCAGAAAAGCTTGGTTCTCGGCTATCCAAGCTCAAAGCTTCCCAGCCACCTCAAGCCACTATTTCTCATTCCAGATCCATTCCAACGTCTATGGATGACGATTACAACGACAGTACTCGGTCATGATCAGATATCGGCACCCTTCTTTAAACCCAGGACTATGAGAAGAGAGAGCAAGAAAAAACAAGGTGCATCTCCATGGTGGAAAGAAATTCGAGAGCTAGCTCTCCCATAGAGAAGTGCCAGGTCGCATACACAGCGCATGCCGAACAATACGTGTGACTGATTGCCAAAGCAAGCGGAAAAGATCTAAATGAATGGCTGATCCATCCCGTGTCTTGTACCTGCATCGTTGGAAACATATCCAATAGCGAAGAAGGTGGCGCAGGTCTGGGTTTCCCTACGTACGTGACTTGTGCTCCGTAGGGTGAATACCCGTTTCCTGCCTATATAAATATATAAATAGGCACCTTCAACGGTTACACAGTGCGAATTGCGCCTCGCCCGTTGCGGAGATTGGAGGGAACAAAGAAATCCCTTCCGTCACGCCTGTTGAAGAGAAGAGAAAGGTCACTTCCCTAATTAATTCCGTCAACGCCCACACCTCAGTCACACCTTACTTCTACTCCATTCTCCCTTCTCCATTCTCCCTTCCCAACCACACACTCCCCACCACTTCAAATTCGTCATAAAACAGCTCAAAATGCATACTCCCATCTCCATCTCCGTCCTCGCCCTCGCCTCGACTCTCGTCCTGGTCGTCGCCCAGACTAGCAACACCACGGGACCCGTCACAGGGATTCGAGGTAACGCAACCGTCGTCGAGAACAACCCCGTCGGAAAGGTCTATACTGCCGTCTTACCTGAGCAGCAGTTCAACAACCCCCAAGATCCACGAGGCAATGTCATAGGCTCCATCTCTGCGACGGCCAACCCAGATGGTCACGGAGTCAGCTTCACTGTCCAATTTGAGAACCTGCCAACATCTGGTGGTCCATTCCGTACGTTAGTCCCTCGTCTAATATTTCCCGAGGCCGACTAACAAAGACCAGTCTACCATATCCACGATGATCCGGTCCCCTCTGATGGCAACTGCAACAAGACTCTGGCGCATGCCGACCCGTTCATCCGCGGCGAGGTAAGCAGATGTAGACATCGGCTAGTGTGAGCTAAATACTCATCACATCTCTCTTAGACTCCACCCTGCGATGCCTCCCTCCCTCAGACCTGCCAAACCGGTGATCTCTCGGGCAAGTACGGCAAGATTACATCGGACCCCTTCACCGCAACCTACAAGGACGACTTCGCCTCCACTGTGGAGGGCATCGGCGCCTTCTTCGGAAATCGCTCCTTCGTGATCCACTTCGCAAACAAGACCCGAATCACATGTGCCAACTTCGCCCTCGCCGCCACAAACACCACCACCAACACCACCATCACCACCACTCCCAGCGCGGTCCCATACCCAACCGGCGGCTCACCAACCTCACCGACGGTTATCGGCACAGCCAACGCCAGCACGGGCGCCATTTCTCTTCTCCTGTCCCTGACAGCTGTCTTCGGACTCTTCTTCGCATTGTAACGAGTCACGAGCACCGAGTTATACAGACTACCGTGGTGGTTTCGCAATGATTTTGGCAGGCGGGCGTTAAAATGGCACTCTAATGGACCTGGCGGAATCTGGATCGAGGGAGAATGGGGATGCGTAATGGACGGTGAGCAACTGGAGGGGGCGATGGTGCATGCATACAAACAGATGTAATCGTGAACGTGGAAGGCGCAGAAGATACCACGATCCGAACAACTCTGCCTGAAATAAATTATTTGCGCATACTCGTTGGTCCTATGAGTTGTTCCTCAGTAAATTTTGGCTGATAAACATGACGAACGAACGCGGGATCCTGACCGTGATTTGATTCTCTCGATGCCGCACACCAAGTCGGCTAGAAGCTGCGACTCTACAGTACCGGTACCGGTATTGGAGTACAGCTTCGGCGGTCAGGGCCACACTTTCCCAGACCGAGATGGCAAAACGCCAGACTGATTTACCCAATGCCGAGGGACATGGTTGCCAAATCTCAGAAGTCCAGAAAGACGAGCTATTGCTAGTACTTATCTAGTGATAATACCAGGTCATAGGAGGACGCAGTTCTGATGATGATGTGGTTGATTGACTTGTATTATGCTATTCTCGGACTACCGGTACCTTAAAGGCAAGTAGGGGGTCATTTGAGCGGTCCTCTGACCCTCTTTTATCAAAGACGGTTATCCGACCGTTTAAATCCAGTACTAAGCTTTATTCAAGAACGGCTTAGCTAATACACCGTCCCATTGAAAGGGACCGTCCTAGGGCCGTTCTATGGCCATCCTCGTCCAGATTTTTTTTAAAAACAGGCTTATCAATAAGCTCGTTTCCTAAAAAATTTGAAATGGTTAAATAAATGACTCTTTTAGTAAGTATACAATTGGATCTAAAAATTGTTCTTCAAATGGAACCGTTCTACTAATCATCTGATAATATTCATGCCAAGATGTTTCTCGATATCGCTGCTACGGCTTATATATCAACGCTTTTCAATTTTTTATCATCGGAATCGATCGATTTAGTAAAAGTTCGGCCGCGAGTGAAGACCTCCTTCGACTATAGCAGGGGTTGCGTGGTAAGGGGTGGTGCGGTAAAGGGGAGACTGGTAAGTACGGTACGGTAGTAGAAAGGAAAAAGAGATTATTTGCTTACTAATTTACGTTTTCCGGAACGGTTTTGTTTTTTAAAGTTCGGGAACGGCCTTGGGAACGGCTAAAGACGGTCTGGAAATGGTCTTGCAACGCTCGAAAACGGTCTTGAAAAACGGTTTTCATACGAGAAAAGACGAGCTTTTGTACAAAACGGTCTAATCGATTAAGATGATTTTATGCTAGCTAGCTACGATTGCAATATTTTAAATCGTTGGTTGCTAGATTTTATTCAATCTCAAGTATCGGCCTAGGGTGATCCAGCAGCTGTACCAGGCTGTTGAGATCGTCCTTAGAAGAGATGATTATCGGACGATCAGCTAACCGTCTAAAAGCTCCTGCGGTCCTCTTCAAGGGAGGAATTGTTGGGACGAGGTTGTACCGAAGTACGGTAGGAACCAGTGCCAAGACATGTGGTGCGTGCACTGCCAAGGCTGGCCGGTGCGCCCTGCTCTCCTTTCACTCTTTACCGAGCAGCAATACAAGCTTTGAAGAAGAAAAGAAAATCGAAATAAAAGTAAAAAGCGTGCTACTAGTAGATGGGATGAACTATCGAATCGTACCGTACCGTACCGTACCGCACCGCACCGCACCGCACCGTATCGTATCGTATCGTATTAGTCTTGGCTCCTTCTCTTCTCTCTCTCTCTCTCTCTGAAGGTTTTACTTGATAGCTTTGAAATGGATGGATGGATGGATGGGGGAGGAGAGGAGGAGGAGGAAGAGAGTTCCATGGCAAATAAACAAGTAATAGCTAGGTTTGTTATCATATGGATAATGATGATTTGATGAGAAGTGTTGGCGAGGGTTTTTAAGGTTTGTAGGTGAGGGTCGGACGTATACGGTAGTATTCGAATCTTTTATACTGAGATCTGTCCTGCGCGCCACCTACTGCCTGGAAAAGGTCGGTCAGATACCGGTAGATAAGTCCGTATGTGTGTATGTGTTTCATTCTAAACTGTAGCTGTTCATTCACGCTTTTGTCAATGTGATAGGCATTTGATATACATAACGGATGGGTTTATGAATGAATGTTAGAGCTAAGCGAATCGACTCGGTTCCCCCCAGCATTAGCCTAGGGTATTAGGTGTGAACCGCGTCTGTTCCGCCACCTCGAGTCATCAAACCTCTATGACAAAGATGTCTGCGAGCCAACCTATCGTCCCTTGTTTTTTCTTTTTTTCATGTTAGTTTGTTGGTTGGTTTTTGTTTGCCCTCGACTCAAGGATCAAAAGGTGCGTAGCTGAGTGCGAAGCTTGGCCTTGATTTTCTTCTACTGGTTCTCTCTCTCAGAGCTGGCTTATTCAAGGGCGAACATGTGGGTTATTTTTGGTCCAGCAAGCGAGCTGGCCAGAGCAGAGCGAACGCTCGGCAAGATAAGCCCAAAGCCGTTCCTACCAATATAGAGAGCCGTTCTCTACGCTGAGTCCCCGTTTTTTGTGGATTTGTTTGTGACAGGGAGAACGAGACATTGGTACGTCAATAGTGGGAATTGACTTCACGACTCTAAGGGCCGTTTTGATGACCGGATCGATATAATTAATATTCTTCGATGACGCGTAGCATGATTGTCGAGATCTTATGCATTCTTTAAAAAGAAAAAATATAAAGCGGCAAGCATAAAAAGTGTTACGGCTGGAATAGAATAGTAAGGTAGGTAGTAAGTACTACCTAAACGTACGCTTGGTAATGAGAAGGAAAGCCGAGGAAGGAAAGATCTACGTTACAGGAGGGCCGAAGTCTTGTACCATGGGGCGGCCGTTAGCTTGGGGCGGCCGCTAGTCTCGACTGACTAATCCTCAACCAATCCCCAATCACGCCAAGGCCTGTCAGGACCGCAACAATAAGCTTTTGAGAAATAAGGAAAACAACTCTACTACTGTCGAGGCACAAGAAATATTTGGCCGATCGTACTGCGTATAGGTATCTCCGCGACGTATTACGGATAGCTCGTGAGCCGCATATGCACTAACATGATCTACGGAAGTGCTGGAGGTACCGTAGTTCAAGTCACCGCCTCCAAACCGATGGCAGAATAACCCCCTTGCTAAGTAACGAAGGTGGTGATCTACCTAACCTAGGTACCTTACCTACCCCCAGCACCTCACCAAGTCTTTCGGCTATCGAGATAAGCCCTGTCTAGCGCTCCCTTTGATAGCCGAAGCTTTTACTTTATGTATTCTTGAGTGCCTCCAACCGATGCGGCTTAAGCCATCGGATACTTTGAAAAAAAAAGCGACCACTTCAGACGGCCAGGCCCTCCTGACCTCCTGAAGGGGCGAAGCGCGGCCCCGGCGACGAAAGGAATACGTCCTGCGTACGGAAGGCCCTGCCTGGCGGTGAAGCAGAAATCGCAAGTACTACTACTACAGTAAGTACAGTAGTCCCTATTATCGCTCGACCCAAGCCCTTGGGAAGTCTGGGGTACGCCGCTCTGTAATTAAACAAGCCGTGCCCAGAGATCCTGCGATTGGTTTTCTTAGCCTGCTGCAAGATCAAAGACGTCAAGACAGCAGAAGGGGAGGCTTGTCTCTCCCAACGTGAATACGTACTACGTAAATGTAGTAGTAGGTCGTAATCCTAAGCCTTTCACGGGCCGATTCTCAGGGGTATCGCAGGGGGGCAAAGCAGGGGGTAGCAGTGGAGTAGACAAAGGTTTTACTGAAGCCAATTGAAATACAGGCCACTCAACTTCACTTATCCTCCGTCGTGCCTAACATCCTTTTGTTTATGGCTTACAATTCTGGTGTCTTCGATCCGTTTTCAATCTATCGATAGCTAGTATAATAGTAGTAGATATGAATCCGTGATTGAGTTCCCCGATTCCTCTCTAAACAAGCTTTCCTACGCCTTTTCGCTCCTTGCATACCGAAAGAACGACCTATGCGCTCGAAGAAACTGCGTTCTGGAAAAGAGATAAATTTCGATTTGGTTTACTACGCTGAATCGATCTCCTTTGAAAAGACTACGAAAAACTATACCCGAGGCTGAAGAACGCGAGTCCCGATAGCTACTAACTACCATATCGAATCTCTACACGGACCGCCGCAGAGGCCTTACTGTATCAAGCCGCAATCGATGCTTAGGGAGGGCCAAGTCTATATTACTCTCCACTTCTACTACTACTGTACTATGAATATATATCGAAAGGATAATTTTGCAGGGGATCTCACTTACCAGGTCTTAAATCGATCAACCTACTTAGCACTACTACTACTACTATAACACTGTACTTAAGGATTCATCCAGCCTTGAAAAGTATCGTCGAGCTAGTACTACTACTATTTAGTCCGTGCAATGGGGTTGATAGGGCTTCAAGCCATTCCGCCAACACCGCTTTACGCTCTATAGAGTTGAACTAGGTAGGTCCGACGTGTCTTCATGGAGGGGGCATAGTAGATACGTACGTAAATACTACTAGAATCTCAATCAATTGATACCTAGTACAGTACGTAGTACTTTCCTCTCTCCCGATGAGCTTAAACCCCTTGTATGCCTATTAGTACCTTCTGCTAAGTACTACTACCTATGCCCTCTGCTACAGTACAGTATACCCGCCGGAATCGGCCCGTGAGAGACCCAGGATTACGTACTACGTACTACTATAGTAGATACTACGTACAATTAGTAGTACCTATCTTAAAGAAGGGGAAAGTATAAGCTGATCTGTGCCAGACCTGGTCAAGATCTCTTGCAAAATCATACTTTCGATAGTATGTACTACTATTTACACTGTATACTTACTAGTAAGTCGATCGCGTTTAGGACCTGCCAAGAACCCGGGCGAGATTATGCTTTCGATATGTACTATACTACGTACGTACAATAGTACTGTACCTATTCATCGGGGAGGGGAGAGTGTGAATACACATGGAACCCCACCTGGTGAAAGCATATTTCCCTCGTCGAGCTCCACCGCCTCTCAGGTGTAGTATATGACGTATACAGTATGCAATTGATTTCTCAATATATATTTAAAAATAATTCTTAATGCTTTGTACGACAAGTCCTTTTTCGTGCGTTAACCACCGCGTGACATCGATCCGATTGCGAATCGTACCCTCAGACGGTGGATGCTTGAGGGATAGCTTTTAGAGCGTTCTTGAAATCTTCGTTCAAAGCGGATCGGAAAGTATCGAAGTTGCGTCGTGATAAGATTGATAGAAAGGAAAGGTTTCTAGATTTTAATCTTATCTTGATTGGATAGGCATTAGACCGTTTTTTACTCTTCGAAACGAGCTTTCTGATGGGCCAGGTCTGAGACGGGGATGCCTATAGGATGGCTGTAGGACGGTCTGTTTCAATAGGACGTCCGGTCGAGGACGGTCTACTAGCTAAGCTGTTCTTGGATAGAGCTTGGTTCTGATAACCATTTCTTATGAGGAGGGTCAGATGACCATTAAAATGAACAACCCCTACTTCCCTTTATTGTAGCCACTGCGAATTGCGGGAGTACTCGTTAGCGTAGACGCTAGCACAAAACAGCCACTGCGATTGTCGATCGTAACAAGGTACTACTACTACTACTGCTGCTGCTGCTACTGCTGCTGCTGCTGCTACTGCTGCTGCTGCTACTCCTACTAGGTACCGTAGCAATAAATAAATGCACTGTCGCCGGTCGGTCCTGTTGCTTCGCCGCCAGGCAAGCGAGCGAGTTCCACTCGAGTATTTCCTACCGATATACTTCCTTCGTACACCGGTCTCCCCGGAAAGCAAGGCCTTGCCTGCCGGTGAAGCAGAAATCGCAAGTATTGTCGCTCGACCCAAGCCCTTGGGAAGTCTGGGGTACTCCGCTCTGTAATTTGACGAGCCGCGTTCCGAGATCCTGCGAATCGCGATTGATTAGCTTTCGGCACATCCTTGATCTTGCAGGATGTAGCGAGGTCTAGACAGTAGAGGAAGGCACTGCTGATCAGCAAGCAGTCTTGTTACTGTACCAGCAAGCAGTCTCACTACTACTTATACCAGCTCCAGACATCCCGTCGACATGTCGCCGCTCATTCTTTTCAGACAGATCTCTCTTTCACCATGTTCTTCAGTCCGGATTTGATCGTTCTCGCCTGCTGGGCTTCGACTGCAGTAGCAGGCCAGGTTACCTTCCGAAACAGCCACAAATACTACTTCGACGTGGACGGGAACGCCATTGATTCGGTCAACGGCAAGGTCGAGTGGATTCAGGGTCAATACCTTTGGATTGGAGAGCCTAGCTGTAGGAGACCGCGACTCAAGACCGCAGCGTATCAACTTACTGACGAGAGACTGCCATAATAGCTTGCGGCGCCGAGGCGTGCGACAAAGTCTCATGGAGCTCCCCTAACCTGATTGACTGGTACTTCAATGGTCCTCGTAGGTCTTGCCGGAGAGACAGAGAGAGGTACGAAGGAAGTGCTTGTTGACTTGAACGACCAGTTTTCAACCTTACCGAGAATGCCCAGTACTGTCTCGTGGGCCTTGGAAGCTGCAGTCGTCCCAAGGTCATCTACAACGAGAAGACGCGGAAGTACGTTTTCTATGGATTCGCCAGTAAGCCGTTCTCACCACGATGCTCTTACGTGATGCATCCGCTGACCCTCTCCACAGCCAGAGGCTCTGGTCCAGCCACTGTCCCGGTCTTTACGTCTGACTCGCTCACAAGTGGCTACACCTTTGCGGGTGAGATGATCCCTGACTATGCGCCAGCCGGATGGAGTGTCGAGGACCTGGGTCTCACGGTGCTTGATGGGAAGGCATACCTCACCTTCACTGGGTGGAACATCACTTCCATGTACAGTGACGGTCATCTAGGAAGCGTAAGCCTGCCGTCCACGTCCTGTTACTCTATTCAGAGAGGGAGAGAGTGCTGACACGGCTCTGGCCCAGATTTGGCCTCCATTCATCAACCCAGTCCTGGTGCAACCACTGTCTGAAGACTTCCTCCAGGCTTCTGGCCGATCGTACCCTGTCCACCAGGCCGGCACCGGTTTCCCTATCTTCCCCGACTCCCCGAACTTGATCGATGGCCAATTCCAGTCCCCAGATCTCTTCCGGAGGGGAGACACATATTGTAAGTCAGAGAGACGTCGTGTCTGAATGAGTGATCGATCGACGTAGGTGAATTGTAGCAATCGGCTGACCATTCCGTGCGACAGACGTGATTGGAAGCGGCACTTGCTCCTTCTGCCCTGGGGTAAGCCGAGAAGAAATCCTCTAAAACCAACCAACGTACAGCGAAACGAGAACTGACCACGTACCTGGCCTAGACCACGACCCTCGCATACCGATCTGCATCCCCCTTCGGCCCTTGGACGCGACAAATCGTCGATTGTGGTAACACGTGCGGTGGCCAGGCAATGGGTGTCTTAAACGTCCCTCCGGTCGCGCCTGGAGCGGAAGGCGCCTTCGTCTACCACGCCGACAGCTTCTCCACCGCGCCGATGGGCGGCCACATCACGGGATCCAAGGGTCACGCCTTCTGGCCCCTCTCCTTCGCGAGCGACGGCTCCATCGAGCCCATCGACTGCAGCGCCAACAAAACCTTCACTATCGACGCCCCCCCGGCCACGGCGCCGTTCCCGAGAATCGGCGGTCGCGCGGTCAACGCCACGGACGGCTCCGGCAACTACGGCGCCTACTACTCCGAGACGGGGCTCATCACGAAGCGATTCCTCTACCAGACCTGGACATCTTCCAAGTCCGGCATGCTGACCGAGGTCGGCGTCAACCTGGCCTTGAACGCGCCCGCCCCCAACCCCATCACCATCGTGGTCTTCTCCTACCCCGACGAAGCTACGCTCCTCTCCCCCGGCTTCCGGTGGACTGAGCTCGCCACGAAGCTTGTCGCTGATACCACCGACCGGAGCTTCCTCTCCTTCCAGGTCCAACGCATCGAGGTCAACCAGGAGGTCCAAGCCGGCCAGAGGCTCGGCATCGCGTTATTCTCCGCCCAGAACGGTCCTAGGGTTTGGTCGCTGCCATATGCGTACTTGGTACAGGACACCGCTGGCACGGGAACGAACCACAAGCTGTATGCCATTGAAAAGGGGCACATCTCGAGGGATGGCCCCAAGGGTCAGCAGAGCCCGCTCAAGGAGGTCGTGGATCGGGAGATCAAGTGGTACGCCACGGTGGTTTGAGCTTCCCGAGGAGCTGTCCGGTGGTGATAGTCGTGGTAGTTGTGCATTGTGGTGGGTGCAGGATGCCGTACGAGCGGCTTGTACTCCGCTCTTAGACGGGCACCGCACCGTGAGATATCAGTCCATAGAAGAATAGAGCAGAAGAGAACTAGATATAGAACAACCAAGAGCCTGCACATGTCAGCTTTGCTTGCCCTCTGTGACTTATCGGATGTATTTTGGGAGGGGGGAGGGGGGGTGGAATTTTTCCTCAAGCAGCGAAAAAGATTCTTATACAAAGCTCGCAAGCTCGCTTTGACGAGCCGTATCCTCTCATTCTCGTCGTCTGCTACTTCGATTTGAACGCGGCGCTGGAGAAGGTATATTCCATAGGTACCTCCCCTCCTCACGTCTAGTTCTCTGTTCGCAATCCCCTTGGGCTGGCGCCGTGGTAGGGGTTTTTTTTTTTCTTCTTCTTTTTTTCTTTATTTTCTTTTTTTTTTCTTCCTTTTTTTTCTCTTCTTTTTTTCTCTTTTTTTTCTCTCTTTTTTTTTCTCATTTTTCTTCTATTTTTTTTTGTTCTTTTTTTTCTTCTCTTTTTTTCTTCTCTTTTTTTCTTCTCTTTTTTTTCTTCTTTTTTTTCTCTCTTTTTTTTCTCTCTTTTTTTTCTCTCTTTTTTTTCTTCTTTTTTTCTTCTTCTTTTTTTTTCTTCTTTTTTTTTTCTCATTGATCCAGTGCTCGCTTCTCCTTCCGTCCTTGCTGGGGAACTGGAACGGCGTGGGCCCTCTCGGGTGAACGATTGCTTGCTTGCTTGCTTGATTGTCGGCTGCTCGGGTGCTGAAGGGTTCCGCTGGTGCGCTGGGGCGTTGGTCCTCGGCGATCGCTTCACAGGAGCGTCGCCCTCGTGAGCAAGCCGTCGGAGAGAGAGAGAGAGAGAGAGAGTGCCGAATGGACGGAGACGGACGGAGACGGAGACGGAGACGGAGACGGAGAAGGAGAAGTTGGCGACGGGATTGGCGCTGGGGGAAGGGCGGGCTTGCAGGACTTAAAAAGAGAGAGAAAGAAAGAACAAGAAAGAAAGGATGGGCCTTCATGAGATAAGATGAGAGGGGGGGAAGGAAGGAAGGAAGGAAGGGGAACAGCAGCCGTAATACACAAAACAACACGCGCTATACCTTACCTTACCTACCTCCCTCCCTCCTCCTCCTCATCACATCGTCCGCCGAACGAAGCTGGTCGCAAGTACCAAGTAAGTCTGCCAACGCCACAATGCGAGAAATTGTATTTTTTTTTTCCATGTGAGCGTGAATCGGAGAGGGGGAAGACGATTCCATTCCGCCTTTCCTGCCGGTACGGGCACTTCCACTGACTTGCTCCGCGAGAGACGGGAAAGATGAGTGAGTGAGTGAGGAGCGTGAGGAGGGTGAGGCCTGCCTGCCTACCTACCTACCGTAGGCGAGCCGACGATGGCCGGTACCGTCCACCTCTCTCTCTCTCTCTCCTTGCAGCTTGCAGGGCCCGTACAGAGAGAGTACGCATGCGGCTAATAGGTAGGTAGGTAGGTACACAAAAGCGTCGACAGCAATAGCAATGCGGTCGACTGACCCGACTTCTGCACCACACACACACACACGTGTACAACTAACTACAACTAACTACAAACAACCACAATCCAACCGGAAAAAGCGAGCGAGACAAAAGAGACGCCCGCACCTACGTCTCGTATCGCACTTCCCAACCCAACCCACATTACGTACACACGTCGGCGACAGCGCAAAGCAAAGCAAAGCAAAGCGGTGCGCACACTCCCACGGCATACATATCTACGTACGGTACGTACATACATACATGCAAAAACCCCAGTTCAGTTCATCCCATCTCGGAATCCTTGCCCCCCTCAAAAAGGAAAGAAGAAAAGAAAAAGAAAAAAGAAAACACACACACGCACAGCTTAAAGCCTCATCAAGGAGGTAGGTAGATCATCTTCCGGAGGTCCTCTCCGGCTGGCTCTCGCGAGAGAGAGACATGATGCGGCCGATCCATTCCATTCCTTTCCGTTCCGGCGATCTCTTTCCCCTTTCCCCTTCCCTCTTTCCTCCTTCCTCCTTCCTCTCTTCTTGCGCCCCCCCTCCCTCCAACACGTTTCCCCCAGCCCCCCACGACGCGGATCTCTTCTCCTCCCCCTCTCCTGCTTTCCTGATTTCTGCTTTCCTTCTCAATCGTTTTTTTCTTCTTCTTTTTCTTCTTCTCTTTCCTCTCTATCCTCTCTACCCTCTCTAGTCTAGGAAAAGATGGGGGGCGCGGCGGACGCGCACGCGATCGACGGAGAGCATGATGATGGAAAACCGAAAAACGGGAGACGGGAGACTAGGGGGGTCTTGTTTCTGGCGTGGTGAAACGAACGAACGAACGAACGATTGATTGATGGATTGATGCGAGGGTGGCGGGGCTGGGTCTCTCAATCTGGTAGGTGTGGATAGGCGGGTAGTCACGGAGATGGGTCCGGGCATGGAGTGATTGAGTTACAGGACTGGAAAGGGGAGGGATCGATGTGCAACTGCTCTGTGGGTACGGACCGTACAGCGTGAGTAGGGAGGAGATGGAGAGATACGGTAGATACAGTACGGTAGATGGGTAGATGGGTAGGTGGGTAGGTGGGGAAGTGGTGATGTCACGTCGTGGCGGGGGGGGGGGGGGGGGGGGGGGGGGG